CTCTCGGGCCGTCGTCAACGCCGTGAACGCCGAAAAGCCGCATATGCTAAACATGTATATTTTCCTATGGGGAATCAATGTTTTTGGCCTCCAGGGGCCTCTTGGGAGCCTCTTGGGGGGCCTCTTGGGGGCCTCTTGGGGCCTCCTGGGAGCTTCTTCGGGCGAAAGGCTGGACTTTTCGGTTCGTGGTCCCCCTCTTGGGGCCGTCTTGGGGCCCTCTTGGGCCGTCTTGGGCGCATCTTGGGCTGTCTTGGGGCCCTCTTGGGCCGTTTTGGGGGCCTCTTGGGAGCCTCTTGGGCCGCCTCTTAGGGCCCTCTTGGGACGCCCATTGGGCGCCTCTTGAGGCGTCTTGGAAGCCTCTTAAGCCGTCTTGGGCGGTCTTGAGCTCTCTTGGAGCGCTCTTGGGCCGTCTTGGAGGTATCTTGGGCCGTCTGGGGCACTTCTTGGGCCGTCTTGGGCGCCTAAGACGGCCCAAGAAGCGCCCAAGAGGCCTCCAAGACGCCCCGGAAGGGCTTCGCCCCAACTCAACGGGACTCACTCGTACCTCGCTCTTTCCGTCACCTGTGGGACTTGTGGGAACTGTGGGACCTGCGGGACCCCTGAGATCTTTGAATCCTGTGGGGCCTGCGACCGCCGAAGACCAAAAGAACGCCCTGAATTGTGGGACCGCCGGGCACCCAAGTACGGACCTGATTTGGGACCCGGGGAACTCCTCATTAAATTTCGTAGATGGACAGATGCCTCGTGCTTTGGGACCATCGAGGCCCCCATGGGGGGACTCATTAAGGAACCCGACAGTTCCTTACGTCCACCATGTTTTCTTCGAGCGGGGGGGCCCACAAATTTCAACGTCCCAGCGTGGTCGTCGGAGGCCCTCAACTAGCCACCCCACTTGGAAACGCGACGCAACTGTTTTGCCGAGACTTGAAGGCGGCTCTGATGCCGTCACCGCCGTACCTTCACTGCAGCCGCTGATCCGCAGGCAAACCCAAGAAGCTGCCATGAAGGCGGGCACGACCGCAGACGGCAGGCACCAGCCGAACCCCTGGGGAGCTCACGACGGCCCACGATGGCCCCGAAATGTCCCACAAAGCCCCAAAACGGCCCAACCATGCCCCACGAGGCCCTCAAGACAACCCAACCGGACCCCGTGACAAGCCCAATGCGGCCTGAGAGTAACCCGTGGGAGACCCAAGTGAGGCAAAAACAACGGACGCAGAATGAGGCAGAAAAATGAGGGGGCACGAAACGAGGGCGCCACATTTTGCGGCCATTGCACGGGTATGGGCGACGATCTGTCCCTTAGTACGGATTTCTTGGCGGTGCTCTGGAACTCACCGCGCCGAAACATGCGCAATCGCAGAGCGTGGGACTTGCCGCGACCAAAGCGTCATAACGCCAGCGCCCGGTTCTCTATACACGCAACCGCAGCGCGCATGATTTGTCAACGAAATCGCGCCGTCCACGAGACGACTGGGCTCTCCGTTTTGAGATGCGCGAAATGAGAACCCTTTCTGGAAAAATTAGAAAAGAGGGAGGGGTAGGGCGAAGGGAAGAGGCCGGGCGAGAGACGAACCACAAATGATCACCGCCCAATCGAACGTGGCAAGCGCAAGCGCTGAACATAACAAAAATAATAACATTCTGATTTTTTGGCGCGTCGCCAACAAGGGAGTGGGGCCGGGGGGGCCCGCGAGCCCAGAAGGAACTAACTTGGCGGCATGCTAGACGCTACAGGAGGCCTCGCCACGCGGAGGCGCTCTGCCCGAATGAACGAGCGCATCGTCGCCCAAAATCGGCGCAATCAGGCCGCGCGAAGAATCGCTGCGCGGGGGCAATTCGCCCATGCAAGACATATGCAGCTAACAAGCGAAACTGGCGTTATGCGCCGCATTAACCATAGTGCTTGCAGTGCCGCAACGACCACGCTTTACTACTACTACTACGACTACTACTACTACTCTACTACTACTACTACTACTACTACGACTACTACTACTACTACTTCTACTACTACTACCACTACTAGTACTACTACTTCTACTACTTCTACTACTACTACTACTACTACTACTACTACTACTACTAGTACTACGACTAGTACTACTACTACTACTACTACTACTACTACTACTACTACTATTACTACTACTACTACTACTACTACTACTACTACTACGACTACTACTACCTACTACTACTACTACTACTACTACTACTACTACTAGTGCTAGACTACTACGACTACGACTACGACTACGACTACGACTACGACTACGACTGCTACGACTACGACTACGACTACTACTACTACTACTACTACTACTACTACTACTACTACTACTACTACTACTACTACTACTACTACTACTACTACTACGACTACTACTACTACTACTACTACTGCTACTGCTACTGCTGCTACTGCTACTGCTACTGCTACTGCTACTGCTACTGCTACTGCTACTGCTACTGCTACTGCTACTGCTACTGTACTGCTACTGCTACTGCTACTGCTACTGCTACTGCTACTACTACTACTCTACTACGTACTAACTACTAACTACTACTACTACTAACTACTACTACTACTAACTAGTACTACTTCTAACTACTACTACCTACTACACTATACTACTACTACAACTACTACTACTACTAAACGCTACTAACTACTACTACGATACTACTACTACTACTACTACTACTACTACTACTACTACTACTACTACTACTACGACTACTACTACTACTACTACTACTACTACTACTACTACTACTACTACTACTACTACTACTACTACTACTACTACTACTACTACTACTACTCATAATATCTCCACTGATCAGCGCGCGCGTGGGTCGTGGCAAACGGGCCCCGCCACGCGCGATCGCCACTCGGCCTCGCGAAAGCACGTTGAAGGAACTCTCCGCGGGAAAAGAGCCGCAAGTGGCCAGACTGCAACCCTTCGAGAAAACACTGCGTCGAACCAGAAGTACTCGCCAACGACGGCCGCATCGCAGAAACAGCCCACGAAAAAGCATATATTAAATCACGTCCAGAACTTCCCGTTGCGGTGTCTTCTTGCCCGGTCACAGAAGCATGAAGCCGCGCGCGTGGCCGCGAAGCTCAGAGGCGCCCTCAGAGCAAGGCTGGCATGCTTGAAGGGTTTCACCTGCCATCCTCGCGGCCACGAGAGCGGCCAAGAGGGGGGTGTCCAAGAGGGGAGGTGCAAATCATGGCCAGCGGCATGTGCGCGGCCCAGCGGGGGGGCCGGGACCGTATTGAGATAAGGAGAGGCGCCATGAAATCTGGGGAAGCATCGTGCCCCCCGCCATGATATCCACCCCCCCCTAGTCATCACCCCCCTCTTTTCCGCCCCAAACAGCCACGGGAACCCAACAACCTGACACCGCGCGCGTAGCCGCGAAGCTCAGAGGCGCCCTCCGAGCAAGGCTGGCATGCTTGAAGGGTTTCACCTGCCATCCTCGCAGCCACGGGAGCGGCCAAGAGGGGGGTGTCCAAGAGGGGGGGGTGCAAACCATGGCCAGCGGCATGTGCGCGGCCCAGCGGGGGGGCCGGGACCGTATTGAGATAAGGAGAGGCGCCATGAAATCTGGGGAAGTAGCATGCCACCCGCCATGATATCCCCCCCCCCTAGTCATCACCCCCTCTTTTCCGCCCCCGACAGCCACGGGAACCCAACCGACGCCCCGGGACCCCAACGGTCGGTGGATCTGGACCTATCTAGGGTTATGTCGGGCGTGTCCCCCTACAGGGGGATTTTTGAAAAAAATAAATAAATACCCCCAGAATGCTCCAAAACGGTGGACAAATACTCCAAAAATAATCCCCAGACTATTTCTGGAGTATTTTTCTACTACTTTTGGGGTACTTTTGATTTCTCGTGGAAAATACCTCTATAGGGGGACAGGCCCGACTTAAATCTAAGGGGCCCGGAGTTGTCCGTGCCCGTCCGCCGCCTTCCGAGGCCTCCGCAGCTCGATCCCCCGATGCTTGGTCGTGGACGCGTCCCCTCCTCGACGGCGTCCAGCACTGTTCCGTCTGCTTCGCTCGGCCTGGCCCAGGGACCGGTTCCCGTGATCCTCGTTCTCATCACCCCCCTAGTCATCACCCCCCTAGTCATCACCCCCCCCTAGTCATCACCCCCTCTGTTCCGCCCCCGACAGCCACGAGAACCCCACCGACGTCCCGGGACCCCAAAACGGTCGGTGGCTCTGGACCTATCTAAGGGGCCCCGATCTGTCCGTGCCCGTCCGCCGCCTTCCGAGGCCTCCGCGGATCAATCCCCCGATGCTTGGTCGTGGACGCGTCCCCGCCTCGACGGCGTCCAGCACTGTTCCGTCTGCTTCGCTCGACCTGGCCCAGGGACCGGTTCCCGTGATCCTCGTTCTCATCAGCTGGGGCGGGCAACAAAAATACTCCTGAGAACGACCGACACCTCGTCAGCCCGTGGAGGCGCGACCACCAGCGGGAGTGCCAGCGAGCGCTGCGGAAGCCAGAAAGCACCACAAGGGAGCCACACTTCTCGAACCCCCCTCGCGTATTGCCCCTGGCCTGTGCGCGATCCTCCGATCCCCGCCTGCTCTGACCCCCGGCGTGGGAGGCCCAGGCCCTCCCCTCCTGACGCTGCTCCCCCCCCCCTCGCGTTGCTCCTCTCCCCCCAGGGGCCTCTGTGGGCCCAGGAAACGGCAGGGCCGTTTTTTCACCGTTTCCAGAAAAATGACCCTTGAGAATGGACACGGCAAAAAAAACGGCGACCGGAAACGGCAAGAAAACGGCTCCAGGCTTGAAACCGGAGCCGGATCCGGTCAAAAAACGGCGACGGAACCGGTAAAAAAACGGCGTCGGAACCGGCAAGAAAACGACAAAACGGAACCGGCAAAAAACGGCCCTGTCGTTTCCGGGGCCCACTGAGCCCAGGGCCCCCCGAACGTTGCTCCTCCCCCCGAACGCTGCCCTCCCCCCCCCCCGAAGCGATCCTCCTCGGGGTCGTCCGCGTGCAGCCTCGCCGCCATCTCCAGCTCCGCGAGGCCGCGGCCCCGGAGCCCCGCCAGGGCGGCGGCCGCGGAGAGGTCCGCCGCCGCGCCCCTGCCACGAGGAGGGGGGGGGGCCGAAAACTCGCCATCGCTCGGACGTCCATTCCCTGTGTTTTCTTCGGTTTCGTGCGTGTTTTTTTTTTCTCGCCAAATGATCATGGATGCCCCTCGACGGCCCTCGCCGAGGGAAAAATGCACACGTCCGAGCGATGCCAAGAAAACCCCAGCCCAGATCCTGAGCGTTTTCTTCGGGTGGAGGGCTCAGGGTGAAATCCATGTGGGCTCTTGCACCTCGAAGATCATTCCGTCTTGTGATTCACCTCTTGCGATCCAAGCCTCGAGAATCAATGGAAACGGCATTTCAGATTTCACCCTTTGCCCTCCACCCAAAGAACATGCTCGGAGATCTCCGGCGATACATTCCCCCAACAGGTGCTTGCACTCAGGTGGCTCGGGTGCTCTGTACCAGCCTCGAGCGTATCGCTGTCCCCGAGATTTGCCAGCCGAGAGGCGATGGCAACCTGGGGGATGCCCCCTCGGGAACCGAAGGCATGCTTAAGCTCAGCACCGAGACAAGGTGATCCCGAACACAGGGCCAGGGGTATGTCTCGAGCGGGTCGCATCTTACCTCTCGCCGGAGCAGCGAGCCCTCGTGGGCAGCCGTGGGATGCAGCGGGGCCGAGCCAGGCGACGGAAAGAGGAGGAGCGCCCGGCTGAGGGGAGCAGCTTAGGGGTTCGGGCTGGCGTCACGAGGAATCGGATTAGGGGAACGAAAACTGACCTAAACATAAAAACTCGGAGGTCCGCGCGGATTTCTCGGATCTGCGCTGGACCCCCCTCCCTGGCGCGCGGAGCGCGCCGGGGGCGGCGCCGGAGGCGCCGCCAGGGGGTCCAGCGCGGATCCGAGAAATCCGCGCGTACCTCCGAGTTTTTATGTTTATGTCATTCTTCGATCCCCTACGGATGTGTCTCGGATGGATACAGGCCGCGGCGGCGTGGCCAGCGAATCCTGCTCAGAGTGAACAGGAACTGCTGTTGGGCATTGTGCCCATTCTTTTGGTACCCATTTCGGGCGTCCAGATTATCGGGTCGGGCGAAAGGGGGGGATAGCAAAGGGGAGGTTTGAGAATCAGCTCACGTAGCTGATCTCCCCAGCGCCTCGCGGCGCAGGGAGGCGCCCATGTATCGAGGACTGGGCCCGGCGGCGAGGCCGAAACCAGCTGCATGCAGCGGATTTCGTAACCCCCCCCTTTCCCAATCCCCCCCTTTCGTTCGGCCCGAGATTAGGGGTCCGGGCTGGCGTCGCGAGGCATCGGAGGCGTCCGGCGAGGCTTCTTCGCCACCGCTCGTGGCCGCCCCGTGGCCGCCCCGTGGCCGCCGGGCGAGCCTCTAGGATTCTCGCCGCGCCGCCGCCCCGTGGCCCGCCCCCCGTGGAGGGCAGGGCACGCTGCAAGAGGCCTCCACTGGGGGGGACCCTTCCTCTGCGTGCTGCCCACTTCCCTGATCGAGGCAATTCCTCTGGGCATCGTTTCTGGATGGGCCGGCGGGGTTTTCGATCGCGAGCGCACCGGAAGACGCCGGGCGCCGTCAGAACGAAGCGTCGATGCAACAGCACAAACTAGCGCAGAGAAGGCGAAGGGCGAAACGAACAAAACCGGTGGGGCCACGCGAAGCGTCCAGACTTCGAGGGGATCTGGGGCCTTCGGGTCGGGTTGGGGCGGTCTGGTAAGCACTTGCTGGTCGGGCCGCAGGGCCACCCAACGCGGGCCCGGGGCGCCAGACGACCCCCCCGCCCCCCGGGGGAAGGGGCCGGGAGCTCCGGGGCCGCGGAGCGAAAGAACCAGATAGGGGGCCACATGCGAACCCTACCCCTACCCCCCCACGATTTCTGAGGAGGAGGGTGGGGTTCCCTTCGCTCGGGAGCTCCCGAGCGAAGGGAACCCCACCCTCCTCCTCAGAAATCGTGGGGGGGGGTAGGGGTAGGGTTCGCATGTGGCCCGCTACCAGATCGGCCGAGGACGACCCCTTTCCATCGGGGAAGGGAAGCCCAGACGTCCGCAGCTCCGACTTCCTGCGATGCGTGGGCCCCTGGAGGTTTAGGCAATTCCCGCTGGGCCGGTGTTTATTCCTGGATCGCTCTTTCACGGTCCACGGGCGCCTCTCGCGCGCGCATGTCGGAATTATTCGGGCGCCCTGGCGCGTGTTGGGGGGAGGGGGCACGATCACAATAATATAATTCGCCGGCCCAACGGGCCAGAGGCGTGCTAAGATCTCCGGTAACTGCTAAATAATACTTCTACTTCGCGCGCGCGGGGCGGCCCCTGGGGGTCCCCGGACGAAAAGTACCCCAGGCGATCCCCGGCAGACTCGGATCAGAGCTGGTTTTCCTCCTGGGCGCCGCCCCCGTGGCCCTCCAGAGAGCCCCAAGAAGGGCCACGAGGCCGCCAAGAGCCCTCCAAGATGGTTCAAGAGTGCTCCGAGATGCCACACGATCGTTCCAAGACGCCCAAGATGGCCCCCAGACGCCCAAAGAGGCCTCCAAGAGCACTCCCCAGAGGGCCCCAAGAGGCAAAATTCATTAATTTTCCTTAGGTTTTGGGCAGATTTTGGCGTGTCCATCTTTTCGGCTTTCCGACGCCCCAAGACGGCCCAAGAGGCCCCCAAGATCGCCCCAAGAGGGCCCAAGAAGCTCCCAAGAAGGCCCCAAGATGGCCCAAGAGGGCTCCAAGACGGCCCCAGAGGCATCCAAGACGGCCTAAGAGGGGCCCAAGAGGGCCCCAAGCGATGCCCCAAAAGGGGAACACAAAACAAAACTTCGAGCCCTCGGCCTTACGAAGCCCCCAGGAGGCCTCAAGAGGCCCCTGAGAGGCCCCAAAAGCCCCCAAGAGGCCCTCAGGAGGCCCCCAAGCGACGCTGAAGAGGCCCCCCAGCGGCCCCAAGAAGCTCCCCACATGCCCTCCACAACCTCTAAAAGTCCCCAAATCCGGCAAGGCTCCGAAGAGGCCCCAAAAAGAATCATCAACACTTCATCCTAAGAAACTGCCTAGAGCTCTCCGGAGCGACCCCGAGCGTACCCAGGAGGACTCTAACCTTCTACCAAGGCACGGTGGCAGGATCCCCTTCGAAACTTTTCGGCCCTCCTGGACAGCCCCGGCCAATCTCGAAAGTCTGCAGAGGTCTCTCGGGCCATCTTGTCACTCTCGCCCCGCTGCTGCCCAGCTACGCGTCTTCCACAAGCGCGGTGGCGGATATGCGCGGCTCAGTCGTGCGAAATGGGCCGGCGGAATGAGCGAAGCGATTCAATACCCTGCGAGCCAGTCGCGCCCGCCGGCCGCATGTCGAAATCTTTCCCAAACCTGAATCACCGACACGTGGTCACCATCATCGTCATCGGCGTGATCAGCATCGGCGCCGTCATTGGCTTCGCCATCGTCATCGTCACCGACGCCATCAGCATCGCTACTATCATCATCGTGCCTGCCGTTGTCGAAGTCGCCATGGTACCGCGCCCGCCCGAATCACCGACTCGCACGGAAATGCTGAAAGGTCCCCGCGTCAGCGGGGCCTGCGAAACGCGCTGGGAAGTGCCCAGCGATCAGCGCCACCGCAGCCACGAGGGTCGCACCAGACTAGCTGGCCAATATGCGCGCGAACCTGCGCGCGATAGCGCGACCAGAGCGATGCGCCAGCCAGCGCCGAGCAGTCATGACAATCGACGCCGCATGGGTTTGCAAACCAAATTGCGGGTGGCAGGGGGGCGGGCGGTGGAGTGAACAAATTCCAGTTCGGCATGGTGAACTGCACTGCGTACATTGCGCCACCAAGGCTGGAACGTCTAGACTGCGCAATAAAATGCGCATCGACTTTATTTCAACATGTAGCTTACACCGCATAGAATGCACCACATGGATTGCGAAACATCGATTGCAACACGTAGACTGCACAACATAGATTCTCCTCTCTACAAGAAGAATTAACTCTAGCCCCAACCCCCCGGTGTTAACGGATCACCTTTTCGTATTGCAATTTGCATACGATGTTGCCCCATCGTCCATCCTAACTATGAGTTCAAAATATCCCAGCCAGGCCAGTATCATTCCCCCCGCCATCCTCTGCCAAAAATACTATGGGCGCGCACTCGCTTATCACAAATCATAAGTTCTCAAGAACCCCTTGCAAAAACTGAAACGAAAAGCACACGCGCGCGTCGTCGCGCGCATGCCGAAATCCATTTAAAAAAAACATAGGTTTCGGAAGGATTGCAAAATCGAGTTCCCTCAAAAACCAATTATCCTGGCGAAGGTCCCAACCATTTGCAGTTGTGGATACTGTAATTGTGAATGTCTGCTTCGGTGAAGCTCCCTATGGGGCCACCAAGCGCTGCACTGGGCGGGGGGGAACGCTGTACTGTGTGGGTGGTGTGCCGAATTCTGTTTCCGGGACGCATGCGGACGGTCCCACTGAGGGCTTCGGTGGAGTTCCCTATGGGGTCACGAAGCGCTCTACCGAGTGAGTGAAAATGCCAAATTGGGTACCGGGACGCACGCGGATGGTCCCACTGGGGGCTTCGGTGGAGCCCCCTATGGGGCCACGAAGCGCTGCACTGCGCGAGCGAAAATGCCAAATTACATTTCCCAGACGCATACGGACGGTGGCACTGGGGCCGCGTGTGGAGCCCCCTATGAGGCTACGAAGCGTTGCACTGGGTGGATGAACGTGCCTTATTGGGCTTCCCAGGCGCATGCAAACGGAGGCACAGGGGCCTTCGGTGGAGCTACCTATGGGGCCACGAAGCGCTTTACTGGGTGGATCAAACGCAGGCAGGAGGGGGAGGAGGGCCACGAAACGCTGTACTGGGTGTGCGGGACGCATGCGGACGGTAGCGCTGGGACCTTCGGTAAGGTTCCCGATGGGGCCACGAAGCGCTGTACTGGGTGTGCGGAACGCATGCGGACGGTAGCGCTGGGACCTTCGGTGGAGCTCCCCATGGGGCCACGAAACGCTGTACTGGGATGTGAAACGTGGGGAGGAGGGGGAGGAGGGCCACGAAAC